ACCCTCAGCCAGATGCTAATGCAAAGTGACTCAAGCTATTCCTCGCAAGCATAGCTAAATTGCCGTTATTTGTTAAGCGCATTGAATTCAGCTGTGGATACAGCAGTTGGTTGCATTCAGAAAGCATCTGTACCCTTTTTTTTTTTTCCCTTTTTCTTTTTTTTTTTTTTTTTTTATTCCCCCACCATTCAAAATGACAAGCTTCCTGAGGCAAATGCAACACTCAGTGAGGGATTTTAACTCAATAAATCAGACGATACCACAATCACAGTTCAATGAAAGAAGCAAAAAATCAAATCAAATCAAACAAAGAGATCCCATCATCCCCTGCCGCATCCTCCCTCCTCCCCCTTCCCACCCAACCAGCAGCGCTGGAGTCCATAAAGGAGAGCGGAGCAGAGAGCTCTGGCGCACACCGCTAAGCACAAAGTCAAACATATGAAACAGGCTACACAGTTTGGGGTTGTTTCATTGTTTTCACTCGCCCGCTGAAAAGCGCACCGGCACACTCGAAAGGAAACACTTCAAGTGATCTGCAGCTGCCTTCCGAAATCTGCTCCGACACGCTCTGGCCAGCAAGTTCACTCAAACAGGGTGGCTACCATCAGCTACAGACACACCGCAGGGTTTGCCCGGTGGGTTCGCGGGCTCCTCAGTCAGAGCGCGCCTGCACTTCCTTCGCCCCAACACCACTGCGGGCACCATCAAAAGCAAACAAACTTTACACGGCAATAAATTTTTTATTCAAATTAGCTTGTCAACACCAATTACCCGAACCACAACTGCCAAATACCAAGCAGCACTTTCAAGAACTCGGGCAGGATACTGGAGCCTTTGTTCCACTCTAGAAAACACTGAGTTTGGGATGCGGTTCTGAGGTCTCTGGGCACGGCCGAGCCAGGACCCGCAGGACTACAGGGAAGGACTCTGCCCTGCTCTCTGCACTTACACCAGAAAGCTAAGAGAGCTGTCAGCTCCTCCTTACCTATGCCTTATTTGCTAAAAGTAGCAATTAATACAAAACCAACTATTGTTTCATGACTAAAAATTCTGAAAAAAATAGTATTTTTAGATGTGAAATAACCCCATCAATATGCCACATATTTAAAAAAACTATTTTTTTTTCCTTAAAAACATGTTATTAACTATGAGCGCTGACAGGATTATTCTGGAAGCCTTCACAAGCTAAAGAGTTCCAGCAACATTAACATGACACAGTTTAAACCCCCAACATGTTTCACTGCTACAAATAGGTAACAAAAAATCCAGCAGAAACTCTCAGCGCATCAAACCAAATCACCACACAGCACACTTCTTTTTTTCTGTAATATTTTATTTTATTTATATAGAAATACTTAAAAAAACATGAAGTAGCACCATTACTTAAGTTTTACTTTTATTATGTAGAACTTTAAATGTCAGAAAAATAAAACTCTTGATACAATTTCAAATCTTGTCTCAGCAAATATAATATTAGTATTTGACCATGAGGTTAAAGGCCCTTTATCATAAAATAAAATATACTTTGTTTTTAAACTTTGCTCAGTAAAGTACATTTAAGCTCAAGTAACGTCACCTACATATACATAAACAAGTGGTAAACAAATGTATTAAAATAGAAATACTAAAACTATAGTGGTGCAACAGAATTTTTGTAATTTCCACTGAATTCTATTTATACAAATGTTAGAAAGCTTCAACAGTTCCTTTTGACATATGTTTATACATTTCCATTTTTGTAATAATATAGAATAAAATATGCTTTATATCACTGAATAGAAAATATGCTGGGTGAAGCAGATTTAAAAGATTTTTTTCTGAACCTATAAAATCTCCATCCCAACAGAATACTGTTCAAAGCATTACACATTTTATGGTTTGTAATTCCGTTCACAATTGTGTGATATTAAAATAATACAGTGTTCTTTGCCATAAGGCCATACTAAAATAAAAAAGATTTAACCCAGCTACAAAAAGTTCACTGAACTTAAATTAAAATACTTGTAAACATCTTTGCAATATGAAATATAATTTTTCAAGTCAAAAAAGAATAAAATACTTCAATCTGTATTAATGCAATTTATCTTTAAAACCTTTAAACGTTTTTAATATATATAAGAGATATGTTACAGTTTTTTTTTTTTTTTTTTTCTTTTTTAAACTTTGATAAAGCTGCAATATCATGGTTTTTCACAGGAACTTCTTGCCCTTTCAAGAACATTCAGAAAAGTATCCACCCATAGATTTAATTATTTCGTAATAAGCATCCTAGGAACTACCAGCACGTTTTACTAACAGTCCACACACCATTGTCATCATCATAAGCAATCTTCTACTTTCAATATTTTTTTTCCTATTTTTTTTTCTTGTTTGTTTTTTGTTTTTTTGTTTGTTTTTTGTTTTTTTTTTTTAAAAAAGGGGGGAGTTTTGGAAGCTTCGTAGTAAAGTACAGTGTAAAAACTAGCCTAGCACTAGAATGGAGTCGCCCGTTATTATGTATAGCATGCACCCGCTGTCACCATCACCACCAACCACCACCCCCCAGCCCTCCCCCGGCCGCGCCGCGCTGCCAGCCTGCACC